AGACTGACCATTTGGAAACGAGTCAGTAGGGGGCCCCATGAGATGCCCCTGGTACCTTTTTCATAGGCTTTTTTGAGTTTGGGCAAGGACACAGAGGCCCAATGATCCCCTATTGCCCGGGGGGGGCCCATGAGTTGTCAGTCCACCCCTGGACTTGCCCATATGGACTTGTTTTGGCTGTAGAGTCAGGTGCTGCTAGTCAAAGGCTAGTGTGCACTCACCATAAGCATTTGATGCAAAGCTGTAGATTGAGGTTCATAAACTGCAGGGGAAGGAAAATAGTTTGTTGCTTCTGCTACAAAATCAGGGTCCTCAATACTTTCTTTAATAAAACCTTCACGTAAGAGATTCTGCCTCTGATTCCTGAACAGAGTCAGGGGGAATTGAGACGGTTTAGTATTTTTGGCCTCTGGAAACCGAAGGTTCTAGTAATGACAAAAGTTTTCCTAAGAATTCAGATATAGTGACAGAAAAATCTGCTTTTGTCAGACAGGTAGTATGGTGCATTCCTCATTCCTGAGAAAAGACTTAGAAGAGGCTAGCAGTGTCCTAATAGGACATTGCTCCAGTACAAGGGAACAGCTATCACCCTGAGTGGTGTTTTGTGTTTCTTGTAAGTCGTCTGCATGCTATTCGGCCCTTTTGTCCCAGCTCCCTTTCTCCTGTGACCCACCATTGCTGAGTGGATCTCTAGTGGGGTACTCATGGAATGGAATGTGAAAAGAATGGAGTTTTGTGTGTACAAATATAGGAGCCACCATAACCCAGGCACTTACAGTGTTCCTGTGGCTGCATATCAGTAGTAGATGGCAGCAGGAGTGCAGCAATGTGCTGAGTGCATTGTCTACGAAAAAGGCAAGTGGGAATATGCAGCCAGCTGTGACACAGCTACCCCATCCTCATGTGGCTATATAAGTTTGGATAGAGGAGAAAAAAAACACCAATTTACATGCTTGTACCAACTACGTTAGAGACTAACATAATAAGGGGCACCAAATTAAAGTGACTAAATCCCCATCCTTTTACCCATAAGACCAAATTGTGTGTGCTACACCCTGTGGGATACCTTAATAAAAGCCAGAAATTGGTGTCAACATTAAGGGAAACCCTGTCTTACCATATCTAACATAATGTGCCTACTAGGGCTCCAAGCTTTCCCAATCATGGTGGGCCTTTAATGTTTGTGAACCATAAAAATGGACCACAGTCCAGGACCTGTATAGTCCCCAGTGGCTAATTACATTGGCATTAAGTGCAACATATGTAATCGCTTAACAGAGATTCCAGTGCCTGAAGCAAACATTGCAAGCTGGGGTAAAAACCTGGAAACTACTAAATAGCTCAGGGCAATAAGCAATCAGATTTTGATAGAAATGTAAAAAAAAAATTAAGGGTTTAAAAAGTAAAATACATCTTCAGAGGGAACATATTGGGAGTCCCATGGAATGGGTGGGGTCATATACAAATAATCAAATAATTATTTGATCCTCTGCAGATTTTGTAGGTTTGCCCACTTATAAAGAAATGAAGGGTCTATAATTTTTATCATAGGTGTATTTTTTTATGAGACAAAATATCAACCACAAATCCAGAAAAAACACGTTACAAATGTTATAAATTGAGTTGCAGTTCAGTGATCCCTGACCAACCAACAATAATTCTGACTCCCACAGACTGGCTATGTGCTTATGTGGTACACAGATTAGTCCTGTCAGTTTTAGAAGGTGCTCCTAATGACAACTCGTGTATGAAAGCCACCTGTCCACAGAATCTTTCATTCATTCAAACTTCACCATCATGGGAAAATGACCAAAGAGCTGTCAAAGGACGTCAAGGACAAGATTGTAGACTTGCACAAGGCTGGAATGGGCTACAAGACCATCAGCAAGACGCTTGGTGAGAAGGAGACAACTGTTGGAGCAATTATTCACACATGGAAGAACTACAAAATAACCATCAATCGCCCCTGGTCTGGAGCTCTATGCAAGAATTCGCCTCATGGGATGAGAATGATCCTGAGAAAAGTGAGGGATCAGCCCAGGACTACACTGGAGGAGCTTATGAATGATCTCAAGGTAGTTGGGACCACAGTCACCAAACAAACCAATGGCAACACAATACGCTGCCATAGATTGAAATCCTCTAGCATCCACAAGGTCTTTCTTGAGGAGGTCAAGAAGGCTCATCTGAAATTGCCAGTGAACATCTAAATGATTCAGAGAAGGATTGGGAGAAAGTGCTGTGGTCAAATGAGACCAAAATTGAGCTCTTTGGCATTAACTCGACTAGCCATGTTTCAAGGAAGAAAAATGCTGACTTTAACCCTAAGAACACCATCCCTACAGTCAAGCATGGAGGTGGAAACATTTTGCTTTGAGGCTGTTTCTCTGCTAAAGGTACAGGCCAACTTTGCCGCATTGAAGGGCCAATGGACGGAGCCATGATTGTAAAATCTTGGATCAGAACCTCTTCCCTCAGCCAGAACACTGAAGATAGGTTGTGGATGGGTCTTCCAGCATGACAATAACCCAAAATATACCTCCAAGGAAACAAAGGAGTGGCTCAAGAAGAAGCACATAAAAGGTCATGGAGTGGCCTAGCCAGTCTCCAGACCTTAATCCTATAGAAAATGTATGGAGGGAGCTGAACATTCAAGTTGCCAAGCAACAGCCAAGACACCTTAAGGATTTAAAGAAGATCTGTAAAGAAGAGTGGACCAAAATCCCTCCTGCGATGTGTGCAAACCTGGTAACCAACTACAAGAAATGTCTTACACCTCTGTGCTTGCCCACAAGGGATTCTCTACCCCAAGTACTAAGTCATCTTTTTCTTGGGGATCAAATGCTTCTTTTACTCACTAGACTTCAACTCAATTTATAACATTTGTATTGTGTTTTTTTTTTTTTTCTGGATTTTTGGTTGATATTTCGTCTCTATCATTTAAAATACACCTATGATAAAAAAAATTATAGACCCTTCATTTCTTTGTAAGTGAGCAAACTTACAAAATCTGCAGGGGATCAAATAATTATTTTTCCCACTGTAGGTGCACACTAGAAGTGGCCCCAGCAAATGTTTTTTTGCCAGTGCTCAATCACCTGAAGGTACCTTGCATATAACCCATGGTCTATGAATAAAAGGTTATGCATCCTGTACTGTATGATCAGAATAAAATGTTTTATTGATGACAACCCTTATCTGTGTACTGTGTGCCGTGGTACATCAGTAATATACAACTCCAATTTACAGCTATATACATTAATTTGGGTTTTCTATAGTCCATCATATGAGACAAGAATGGGGAGAGAGGAACGCACACTATAGTCCATAATACTGCTGTTAAAGTGAAAATAAGGTAGTACTGGCTAATAAGCTCCAGACAGTACCATGTTTACATAAGAAGGTTGTTATGGAAAAGAAGGCAGATGAATGTAACCTAGAGCTCTGTGGACATGGCATACACTTTACTTTTATAACATACACATTGTAATAACAATATAAGCAATCGTTATATTTGACAATACAATATAAGTTTACTTGAAAAGTCTTCTTTTCATGTTGAGAGTGCTGCCTCCCTGCTGGTCCTCTTTCCACAACCTCCTGGATTCTCCATCTTTTTACAGCTTCTCTTCTGCAATTTACTTTCAATTTCTAAGAACTACATATCCCATAGTACCTTGAGGTCTACAAGCAGTGATTCCTATGCTGACTCTGTCTCCTGAAACTCCTCCCCTGAGCATCCCTGTAGTTCAGAAGGCAGGGTCTGTGAAAGGTGTGCAATATGTGTGAACCAAGTATCCCTATTCTTTATTGCAAAGTCTGCTGGAAATGGTATATACCAGTGTGCAGAGGGTTCTTCAGAATTTCTAGTGTTACTATATGGTTACACCCCTTTAGCACCTGATGGATAAATGCATGTACTAGCTATTGGGATTTGAGCACAGGTATATCTTGTTTGTTGTATCGTGGGTCAGTAGCCAGACCTGAACTGGTAGCTCTCCCCCTCTTTGTCTTTACCCCTATATTGGTCTTGTGTCCACAGTAGAATTTGCGCAGGCAGAGCAGAGTAGGACTGGCCAAAGAGGGATTACCGTATTTTTTGCTCCATAAGACGCACCTAGGTTTTAGAGGAGGAAAACAAGGAAAAAAAATATTCTGAACCAATGGACTGCAGGCATAGTATAGGAAATTAACAGAGACTGCAAATGTACTACAGAAGATGACCAGAGACTGCATACATAGCACAGGAAATGACCAGAGACTACAGACATAGTACAGGAGATGACCAGAGACTGCAGACATAGCACAGAAAATGACCAGAGACTGCGGACACAGTACAGGAGATGACCAGAGACTGCAGACATAGCACAGGAGATGACCAGAGACTGCGCACATACTACAGGAGATGACCAGAGACTGCAGACATAGTACAGGAGATGATCAGAGCCTGCAGACATAGTACAGGAGATGATCAGAGCCTGCAGACATAGTACAGGAGATGATCAGAGCCTGCAGACATAGTACAGGAGATGACCAGAGACTGCAGACATGGCACAGGAGATGACCAGAGACTGCAGACATGGCACAGGAGATGACCAGAGACTGCAGACATGGTACAGGGGAAGATCAGAGACTGCGGACATAGTACAGGAGATGACCAGAGACTGCAGACATAGCACAGGAGATGACCAGAGACTGCAGACATAGCACAGGAGATGACCAGAGACTGCAGACATAGCACAGGAGATGACCAGAGACTGCAGACATAGCACAGGAGATGACCAGAGACTGCAGACATGGTACAGGGGAAGATCAGAGACTGCGGACATAGTACAGGAGATGACCAGAGACTGCAGACATAGTACAGGAGTTGACTAGAGACTGCGGATGTACTACAGGAGATGACCAGAGACTACAGACATGTACACAGGAGATGACCAGAGACTGCAGACATAGTACAGGAGATGACCAGAGACTGCAGACATAGTACAGGAGATGACCAGAGACTGCAGACATAGTACAGGAGATGACCAGAGACTGCAGACATACTACAGGAGATGACCAGACTACAAACACAGTACAGGAGATGACCAGAGACTGTGGACGTACTACAGGAGATGACCAGAGACTGTGGACGTACTACAGGAGATGACCAGAGACTGTGGACGTACTACAGGAGATGACCAGAGACTGCAGACCTTTGGGGAGCGGGTACCCGAATTTGACAGTTACCTGCTCCCACTTCTGCTGCGATCACCCAGGCGATCGGAAGCTAAAGTTGTTGTTCCCCCCCCTGTAGTCTTCTGGGACACATGACAGGTCCTAGAAGACTACAGGGCCATTCACAAAGCACAGCACTTCTCGCACATGCGTATTGGGCATCTGGCTGTGAAGCCGCAAGCTATCACAGCCGGGTGCCCACACTGAAGATGCCAGTGCCAAGGAGAGAAGACGGCCGGTGAAATCAGCGGTGGTGAGGACACCCCTGGACCGCGGGGCAGGTAAGTGGCTGTATTTTAAAAGTCAGCAGCTACAGTTTTTGTAACTGCTGACTTTTTTTTTCATCTGGAACTCCACTTTAAAGGGCAGCTACTTTGGGCCCTGCCTGGCGCTAATACGGTGGCAGCGACGGGGGGAATACTGCTCCATATTTGCTCCATAAGACGCACAGACATTTCCCCCCATTTTTTTGGGGGAAAAAAGTGCATCTTATAGAGCAAAAAATATGGTACTTTGATGCAGTTGGCCAGCTTAACCATGTATTGCAATATGTGTGAACCAAATATCCCGATTTATTGCAAAGTCTGCTTAAAAGGGTATATACCAGTGTGCAGAGGGCCCTTCAGAATTTCTGTGAAATGTGTGACACAGCTGTGCCTACCCACAGGCCAAAGTGAAAATGTTTCACAGAATTCAAGAAAATAAATGTGTGGGGATCTTTACAAAGTCATTGCAGTCATTGCAAAATATATTGACACCCATGCATTTCTGTCAGATAATGCATCACTTCATTCAGAAAAATGTTAAAATTACAAATGTTTAGGCATTCTCAAGTTTTTCTTTTGTTTGTATTAGTATGACACAAAAAAAGTGGAGAAATAAAAAGCCAAATCTAACACATTTCATGCAAAACCCCAAAAATAGACTGGACAAAATTATTGGCACCCTAATTTAATATTTTGTAGCACACCCGTTTGAAAAAATAACTGAAATCAATCGCTTCCTGTAACCATCAATGAATTTCTTACACCTTTCTACTGGAATTTTGCAGCACTCTTCTTTTGTCAACTGCTGCAGGTCTCCCAGATTGGAAGTGTTCCTTTTTCCAACTGCTGTTTTTAAAGTGCTACTAAACCCACAACAGTAAAATCAGTCTGTATATGCAGTAAAGCATGCTTGTTATACTCACTGTGGAACCTAAGGGGTTAATCCTCTGCATTGTGTAAAAAGGCTGTTTGATCCTTTCTTCTCTGTCCCTCTTCTTGTTGAAATGACCACCTGATATAGACTGAGCCTGTGGTCACATGTACATGCTCAGTTTGGTGTCTATTGCTACAGATTTTTTTTTTTTTTTTCTTGGATGCATGTGATTAGCACAGGGCCAATTAGAACTGTCCAGACAGAGTGTCAGAGGTTTCACATCCTCCTAGAGCAGAAAGAAAACTCCTACAAGTTTTAACCAGTGCTCTGCTGAAGTCACAAGACTACTCTAACTGCTGATGAAAAAATGTATTTAGCAGTTGATATTTACTTAAAATAATTGGATTTCTATGTACTGTGGGAGACCGGATATAGTGAATGCAGGGTCCTGTGTTTAGTATCACTTTAAGATCTCTCCACAGGTGCTCTATGGGATTGAGATTTGGACCACAGAGGGGAGAGTGGCCTGTGTTCTGTACTGTGCTCCAAGAAATGGATTTTACAGGTAAATAAAAAATTATACAGCATATGGTACAGACAAATTTAGAGATAACTGGGCTGTCCCTAAGCAATACCAATTTGGAGAGGGTAACAAAGCAATAATTCAGCCAACAAACCACTCGCAAAGAAAAAAAAACAAGGTTCATGACCTATTCAAACAGCAGTCTGAAGGATTTTTGCAGCATCAGTAGAGGCTTGAATGTCCACCCAGTAAAATTTAGAAATGTGTAAACCAAAGACCATGCGGCAGTCTTACAAATCTGCATTGCAGAAGCTTGATGCTGAAGAGTTCTGGATGCACTAATGGCTCTGGTAGAATAAGCCTTCACCAAAAAGGGAAATACCTCATCTTTCACCATGTAAGCCCGAACCACAACCTGACATATCAGCCTCGCAATGGTGGAACAAGATGCAGGGAACCTCCTGCAAGACCCTTTAAGGTGGGCAAAGCAATAGCAGTGAGGTAGACTCTAACAGTTCAAACCACGTCCAGAGAGTGGAGCATCACCCCCCAAGGGTGCTTTGGAGCAGAAGATAAAAACAAACGGTCTTAACTGATGTGAGAATCAACTTGGGCAAAAGATGCTCAAAGCTACCCATACATGGATCAAAAATCAGCTGGTTCAGCAGAGACCAGATGATTTTCAAAGCATATGCATCCCCTATGGTTGAACAGCAGTCGATCTACGAATCCTCTTCTTTTCAACCACCCTGCCAGATGTTCCCTGCTAAATCAGTGCCACAGGCTATAGACGTCTGTGCTGATCAATGTATGCTGACAGCAGGAAAGAGTTCAATCTGCCAGAATACAATGACTTAGCAGGAAGGATTCCCTCATCTACACAGATGTGTGGACAGGGGAATCGGTTCAGTTTTTGCGTTCAAACCCACTAACTGAATTCAAAAAACTGACTCATGTATGGGCAACTTTAGGCTGAATGATGACCTTATCTCTGTGAACAACTGGGAAGAGCTTCTTATAAGATAAGTTAGCCAGCTCTCCTGAGATAAGTGATAGCAATCAGAAAAAACCCTTGCAAGTAAGGAAGACCAAGGATAAATGCCTAATAAGGTCAGAGGGAGGAGTCTGCAATGCAGAAAGTATCACATTTAGGTACCACGGAGCCACAGAAGAATGTCTGGGAGGAACAATATGAGCCACTCCCTCTTCAAAGGTCCTTACCAGAGTGTGTGATTCCAAAGGCCATTGAAAAAGACTAGCTAAGGCCAAAATGTGTCCCTTCATCATACTCAAAGCCAAGTTCTGACTGAAGAAAAGTCAGGATATATCCCCTTGAGTGCTGGCAAGGAATGACCTTGCTGTTCACAGGTAAAATAAGTCTTCCAGGTATAGTACTGGACTTTTCTAGAAGTTGTTTTCAGGCATTCAAAAGCATAGGGATGACTGATTCAGCCAGGCCCCATCTCTTAGGGCATGAGCTTCAACAGCCAGACCTTCAAAGCCAGTGACCGAGAAGCATCATGGAACACTGGACCTTGTGCCAGTAGATCCAGTCTGCAATGGCCATGGAATGTCCGCCACAAACCTCAGTGAGTCTGCATACCAAGTTCTTCTTCACCAGTTTGGAGCCAAGAGAAACCAAAACAGCAGACACGGGAGGATCTTTAGAGGAGGAAAGGCATATGGGGAGAACTGATCCCACAGGAGCACCAATGCATTCATCACTAAGGTCATTGGGTCCCAAAACTGAGATACAAATCTCTACACTTTGTAGATTTAATCTTGACACAAGTAAATCCATGCCCGGTGCCCCCCCCCCCCCCCATCCTTTAAAAAGTATCAAAACCCTAGCTAAAAAACTCCAAAAACGGAGAATTTCTGAGACTTTTTATGGAGAACTGAAAATTGCTGGGGGTTTTATGGGGTCCCCTCAGCCAGTGTCCAAACACTTGAAGGTACCAGCATAGAACTGAGTTTTCGCTGAATCTTTCTGTGTCCTGTTCTGTAGTAAAGTAATTTTGCTAATGATGTGAAAAGAAGACTGAAGTCTTACCTCCTAGCTCAAAGACTGCATCATATTAATATGTCATATGTCACTGGACTAAAAACATTTTTTTTTTAAATTATATTCTTTCCATCTTGGCCATGAAAAAAATTTAAAATGATTTTCTATATTACAGGGAACTTCTAGAAATGTAAATTGTACCCAAGCAAGCACTACCCTGTAGACTATACCTTTTGCCTTGATAGATTAATGACGGTGTACTTCCTGTGTCTAGGGCCCCATATCCATATTTCTGCTATGTGAAATCATATAAGGTACTGTACCTCTCATTGTTACTCTCACCATATGTGAAGCAAGATTTGGTGATACCATTATTATTCTGCTCGCTCTTCCCTTTGCTGGAGAAAAAAACTTTCTTGTGAACTTTGTAGTGCATGCATTTCCCTGCTTATGTTTCAGTCATTCTGTAGATATGTGCCTCCTACACCTCTACTACTACTTCTTGATCATTACACAAACAGTCATCAGGTCACCAGTCATCAGAAGGGCAGCTTGGACACAAAGTAAAGCTTTGCTTCTCTACCAATATGGTCACCCCCTCAAAGAGACACAGTATGGAACACGGTATGGTAAGTCAGTAATGGGGAAAGACTAACCTACAAGGAATTTTGGTGGCTAGTTAACTACCATCTGTTTGTCTTTTCATAAGGACACAGCTTTAGTTCAGGTCCTTTTTAAGAAAGCATACTGTAGCTTTGATGGATTAGAAGGAACCTGTAATGAGGGAAACAAGATGGTAACTTTTACTGACTTCTCCTTCTGAAAATTTCGATTTCCTGGCAGTCATGCTGATCCACTTTCTTCAATAATTTGAGTCACCACTGGAACAAATATTCAGACAAGAACTTATCCCTATGCGCACACTTGTTCCAGGTACTGGCCTGGAACAAGTTTGCGCATAAGGGTAAGTCCTTGTCTGAATATTTGTTCCAGTGGTGACTCAAATTATTGAAGAAAAGAAAACGTACTAAAGCCAGTGGGTAAACTTGAAAGCCACACAACTGACACCAGATCAAACATGGAGGTCACCGTATGTCATTGATGAAATGTTTACCTTAAAGAGGTGAAAAGAGGAGTGAATCCCAGCTTTCTATGGCTTACAGTAAGCCAGTAATACTGAACACATGGAGTGGACATGGTTTAAATTCCTGTAGCTTTCTATGCAAGAGACAATCCCTTATGTAATGAGCCAGATTGAGCAAGTATAAATAACCTGTTTGACTGGAAAAGGTCAGAATTATATTTCATTACATCTTATCTGTAAAACTACTAAATAGATTAAGAAAATTAGATAAGTATGTATGCTTTTCAGTCACCAAAAAAAGCTGTGCTGTTTTTTTGTTTTTTCTTTTTTACGGAAGTCTTCAGTGGG